AAAGACAGTAGTGCTGCTACAGGGTAAAACCAGTAGACCGAGATGCATGCTTTCCTTGGGAACACAGCATAGGAAGGTCACCTCTCCTTTCTCCCACCACCTTCCCTGAGGTCAGAGAGTTTCCTTCTCAGAGACCCGAGGGGAGATAGACATTTGGCTTTATATTTCTCTTTCCCTCAAGTCTACCTCACCATGAGGTGGTGTGAGAATTACAAAGAGAATGTGATTGATATTGGGAATGCCCCAAATGTAGCCCTGGTTTTGATGCACTCACTTCCAGGTCAGGGAAAGAGTTTCCTCGTTCTCAAGCTCATGTGACAAAGATGTGGCCTAGAGAAAAGCCCTGCTGGATAGCACAGAGCCTGGCAGGCCTCTGAGGGCCCTTCCCAGGAGGTTTGTGCTCCCAAGGGCCAGGATAAGCTGGCATTGGGATGCAGCTCTGTGGTGCACCCTGGAACTGTGGAGCACCAGGATGGCTGGCCTAGGGGAGCTTGTGCCAATAAAGGTCTGCCTCTTTCCCCAGGTCTGACTTCTCTCCTGCACACCCTCCTCCTATCTGGAAATGCTGGGGACTCAGCACCAGGTTCTGCCTTCACAGGAGAGGACAATGAAGATGCAACTAATGTCTGTGTGGCACCTGATAAAAGAAGCTTGAAGGGCTTCCTCTAAAAAGGAAGCTGCACAGAAGAGGCCCTCTGCAGACCAGCAAGTGTGTGCACGACCATCAGGTCCAAAAAACTCACCCTTTCCCCAGCAAGGGGAAGAGCATGTAGTCATGTGATTCACAGGAGCCTTTCATGCCTACAGCAGCGTTTGATCTGCATCACCTTCCAGGGAGGTGAGGACCCTGAGGCTCAGGGTTGGCCAAGCTGCCTGTCATGGCACAGCTAGGTGGTGATGGGCTCAAGGCAACTGGGCATGTTTCAATTCATGGGAATTGAATTGAAATTTTCAATTTCAAATTTTCTCCCTTCTCTAAAGTAGGAAGCCCCTGGGTCATGGGAAGGCAGCAATGCCCTTCAAAACTCAAGGCAGAAGGGCACTGCTGCCTTCCCATGACCCAGGGGCTTCCTACTATAGAGAAGGGAGAAAATAATGACTTGAGAGTATCCTTTCCATAGCTATATGGCTTGCTTTCTCTCCCTCCCCTCCTAAACCTGAGAAACTAGTTCACTCTAGGTTGTTAATGACTGAAAAGCCCACCTCACGGCATATTTGTGATTTACAAAAACAATGCCCTAATAAAATGACCAATTTTTACAGTTCTAGGGCTGTAAATGCCAGGCAAGAAATCTGCAGAAGAGGTATTTGAAGACCTCAGTGGGCCGTATCTGACTCTTTCCCCACCCAGAGAGCAAGCTCTTCCATCCAGAGCAGCACTGTCACTGCTTTACCCTGTGTCTGGAGTGCAAGGCACAGTGCTTACCACATGACAGGTATTCCCTAAGGTATCTGATGATAGATGAATGAAGAAGTGGATGGGTGGGTGGGTGGATGGGTGGATGGAAGGATGGGTGGATGGGTGGGTGGTGGATGGATGGATGGATGGGTGGATGGATGGGTAGGTGAATGGGTGGATAGATGGGTGAGTGGATGGATGGATGGGTGGATGGGTGGGTGGATGGGTGGATGGGTGGATGGATGGATGGATGGATGGATGGATGGATGGATGGGTGGATTGGTGGATGGATGGACTACCCCCAAACCACTTCCCCAGTAAATGAGTCATTCATTCACTTACTCCTCCAGTTATGTCTACTAAGAACCAAGCCTGCACCAGGCAATAAACCATGCACTAGAGATATTGCTGTGAACTAGACAGAGTTTAGAATCTAACAGGGGAGTCGGTCATTAAACAAACGGGGCAGATAGTTATTTAGTCATAGTTGGGACTAGGTGTGCTAGTAAGGTCAATGGCTTCAATTGTATGCTCTGATCATTTAGGTATCCAGCTGCTAATCTGTAATCTAATTTTGAATCTGGCCATTATACTTACCAAATTCACATTTTTTAAATACACTTTGGTATTGTTTAAACATAACCTTTATGTTTTTATTTTCAACCCAAAAGAGTAATGCTTAAGGTGCATGAAGGAAAACCAAGGCACGTATATCAAAACTCTAGAGAATAAGGTTTCAGTTCCACTAAACTATTTCCACCAGCCTGTTCAATGATTAGGATTTTAAAGCCCAAAATAGCTTCTACAGCAATATTACAATTATATAAAAATTACATGCATAGAAACATTAAAAGGAAATCACAAAAACATAAACAGTAGGTATTTATTAAGTGATATGATTATGGAAATTGTTTTTACTATTGCCATTTTTTAAGTCTTTCATTTAATGGATGATTATTACTTTGTAATATAATGAATTTTTAAAAGACTATTTAAATGTGTGATAGATGATCTAATTAGAATTACTCATATTGCAAAGTCTACAGTATATTACACTTAGTGGATTTTCACTATGTCTTCCTTTCCTCTCCCCACTATGTCTTTCTTGAACAGAGGAATAGATGAATGAATTTTGAATTCCAATAAGACCAACATATGGACATTTTTGTGTTAAAGTGTTGCACTTAGATTTCCCAAACAGTGATCAAAGTCGAGACCTTTGGGCTTCCTCAAAAAAGACTTATAAAAAGTCTTTGATTTAGTTGTCTTATTCAGTTCTTAATTATTTTTGCTTGTGAATATGAGTTTTTAATATAATAAATGTATTGAATTAAAGAAAATGTTCAAACTCATTCTGAAATTCATTACTTCTCTAATCCCTACTATTTAAAAATTATGTCTCCTATTGAGGGCAACCTCCTGCAGGCTTCTCAAGAAATCTCATTTGTTATCAACAAATATTTGGATCCCATCAGAACATTTGTTTTTCACTTGTAATTGTATTTTCTTTGGAGTCCTTCTGTGATCTGTTTATGACTAATAAGTTAGAAACAATTAGTTAAAATTCATCCAATCATAGGAATTTACATTTGGAGGGGTCACTAATGGTTATTTAGTCTAGCGTTTCTCCCAAGCAAGAATTCCTTCTACAGCCTTGGTCAGTAGTCTTTGGTGTTTCTGTGAATACCTCAGATGCTGGAAATCTCACTGCCTCCCATGGGAGCCCAGTTTGTTTTTTAAATATGCTCATCTTTATGTCCATCAAAGATGAAAGTTTTATTTTGTTTACATATACAGTTCTAATCCCAGCACAGAGCTCAGCACAACAAAAATCTTCAGTAAATGTTCATTGCCTGAACAAGTGGAGGTTTGAATCCACTCATTCATACAGTGTATTTATTGAATGTCTACTATGTTGTGGGTATTTATCTGAAGAACTGGGGATACAGCAGTGGACAGGAAAGACATGGCTCCTGGCCCACGAGGTGTTTTCATTCTGGCAGGAATGAACAATCTGCCCATATTTCCCTTTCCTATTGAAATCTTAGGCAGTGGGCAGATGGGAACAGCCACTATTAGGACAGGTTGAGCAGTAAGTAGCAGTTTCTTACACATTCTTAGAGATTACTTGGGAACCTCCAGGGAAGACTAGACTTCCTGTCAGGCTGGGCTGGTGGGCGTTCAAAGTCAGTATTATTTCAATATTAAAGAAATGTAACCTTATTTTATAAGGTCATATAAAGCTGATGGAGCAGGATATTCAATACAAAAAGAGAGAAGATGAAGCTATATTAACATACACTAGGGGCCGGGCGCGGTGGCTCACGCCTGTAATCCCAGCACTTTGGGAGGCCGAGGCGGGTGGATCACGAGGTCAAGAGATCGAGACCATCCTGGCCAACATGGCGAAACCCCATCTCTGCTAAAAATATAAACATTAGTTGGCCATGGTGGCGGGTACCTATAATCCCAGCTACTCAGGAGGCTGAAGCAGGATAATCCCTTGAACCCAGGAGGCAGAGGTTGCAGTGAGCTGAGATTGCGCCACTGCACTCCAGCCTGGCAGACAAGAGCAAGACCGCATGTCAAAAACATACACACACACACACACATACACACACACACACACACACACAGCACACACAGAGAGAGAGAGAGCAGGACTGCAGGTCTGGCTAAGGTCACATTGCCAATGCCTCAGTGCTTTGTTCCTGTTGTAGGGGGGAAACCCCACAAGTGCTATGGCAAGGGTCTGAAGCCTCAACCTGTTCCCATGTAAATATTGATTTAGAAAAGAATTAGAAATGTGGGCACATAGTTATTTCTTTATATAATCATATACAATCTTCCAGTTACTCATGTATAATCATAAAGATATATACTCAATATGGAACTGAGGTGACATTGTGAACAAAGTGACCCTAAGGCAAGATGCTCTAAACCCTCTGTCACGCCCACATAAGGGCTGCTGGAGGGCGTCTCCCCTGTGCGGCAGCGCCAGTGCTGTGAAAGCACCCGCTGTTTAGCCAGCTAGGGAAGGAGACATCCAAAATGGCTGAGACATCTCCTTCCTGGGGAAGTTAGGAGAAATCTCCGCTTCTCCAAGCTCTTGTGGCAAGGCCTGATGACTGTCAGGGTACCCCGCAGATATCCGGGGGCTTAACTCTATGTGATGCTGTGCTTCAGTGGTCACGTTCCATGTCTACTCTCACGCCCTGCTCCCGCACCTGGTTTCTCTTTTTCTCAGAAGCTGTCCTTGACATTTCTAAGAAGTATGCAAAGAGCGCTGACACATTAGGTTTTCTCCTCACCTTGGCTACTTGAAAATCTTGGGCCCCCTATCTTCAAGACATGTGATTTACCTGACCCTATCACTGACCACCACTACCTCACCCTACCTTCCCTGCCCACTGCTTTGTACTCAATAAAGAGCATCCAGGCACTCGGTGCCACTGTAGGTCTCTGCGTTTTGGTTGGCAGTGGACCCCCAAGGCCAAACTCTCTTTTCTCTATTTCTGTGTCTGTGTCTTTCATTTCTACAGTTTCTTGTCTCTGCACCAGCAGGGAGGGGCTCATAGAACCCTATAGGGCTGGACCCTATATTCTATGAATGTCTTCTCCCTCCTCTCTCCCTTTCATCATCTTCCTCGCCCTGTAAATAATCTCAGCTCAAGCATCATCTGCACTAGAAAGCTTTCCTGATGCCCACCTTCCCCAGGGGCTCTATACCCCCCTTTCTTTGTGCACTCACTGAACTGGGTAGACACATTTATGATGGTGCCTTACAGCTGTGCATGGCCTGCTTGCCTGCTTGTGCGTGCCTGCTGGCCTGGCTCTGTGCCGCTGATCTCAGAACCCCAGCCCAGTACGGTGCCTCACCCTCAGTAGGGAATTGGGAGGTGAGGGATGAATCCTTGAGTCTCTCCTAGGTCACTGACACGGCTGCTCACTGGTTTCTCCTCTCCAGCTGAGATCACATTGCCCTCCTTACAAACTCCCGACGGCTCCTCACTGCCCACTGAAGAAAATGCAACACCTTGGGGCACCCGAGAGCCTCCACAATATGATACCAGCTCACCGTTTTAGCCTCATCTCTCCTTGTATCCTTTCCCAGGACCACTTGTCCAGCCCTAAACAGGCCAGGCTCCCCCACCTTTGCCCCTGCTATTCTTTTAAACTAAAATTCCTTTCTCCATCTCTACCTAAGGAGTGCCTACAAAATAATTTCTATTCATCCTTACACTAGCTCAAAAGCCAATGATGCTCTGATGTGCTCATCAAAATCTCTGTTAGGAGTATCTGCTATCTCATATGCCCTAGGGTTCCTGTCTGTCCCTGCAGCTACGCAATGGAAGCTCCATGAAGGCGGAGGTCGTGCCTTACAACTTAATTTTGGAGGCCCTCATGGAGGGGCTGTTGATTTAAAATGATTTGGAAAAGAAAAAGTCAATGTTCTCTTCCAAATGAAGGGCTATTCAAGTTACTGTGAATGGTTTTAATACAGAAAATGAGAGAAACGGGATCCAAAAAAATGGAGTGAAATGGGATAAGTTACCAATCGAGCAAAGAATGAAACCATAAAAGTAGAATTTGCTTTAAGATAAACATTGAGGCATTGAATATCTGAGATTTCTGTTTCCTTGTTTTATGAGCACGGGATTGTAGGAGAGTTAGCGAGCACCTTTAAGCTTTTATGTGGGCTCTTTGGCTAGAACTAGAAACCAAATGGACACCAAGCAGATTAGCAAGGTAAAAGCATACTAATTGTATTAGTTTTAATGAACACAGGTGTCATGCCAGACCTCTGTTGACTGCAAGAGGAATGGCACAATGTTTGAGAGCCCAAATAAGAGACCCATAGCCAGCAAACAAGACACAGGGTTTTATTAGGGAGAACTTACACACATGGATAGTCCAGAGGTGGAAAGCTGAACAGGAAACCACAACTGCTTGAAAAAAGCATGTCGTTTATACTGCACCTTCCCTTAGCACCCTCCCTCCCTCAGCCTCCATGTGGCAACCCTCATTTCTTAAGTCATTGCTGGCAGGTGCATCTGCCATATAGGGTCATTCTCAGGGTGTGATTAAGTTAGAGCTGTCAGATGCAACTACCATGCACAGGAGATCTTTGCAAGAGAATGAAATCCAAAGAAGTGGCCAAAGCAAGATGCCTTTATACTTTTTAGACAAAGAACAATGAATTTGAGAAGAAATGACAGGATAAAAGGGATCTGGCTGGGGCAGTAGATTTTAAGGGAGTCATAGGAGCTATATGGGCTGATGTAAAACTAGTGGACAAGAAGGATTACTTTGGTAAATATTTATTTAGGTCCACTGCAGCCCTAATTTCCCAGTCTCTGGTAATAAGGACTATTTTATTACCCTAGTACAGGGAGTCCCCTCTCCAAGAGGAAGCTCTGTGGCTTGCTACATGCAGGGGGAGACACGACAACTGGCCCTTTCTGAAACTACAATTTCTTCAATGTTTATAACTCAAAATAATCAATATACGAATTTGGCATATTTTGAGATTGCACATCTTTCACTCCTTTAGAATTCAAAGTCACAGGTGTTAGTTCTGTCCTTGATATTGGCTCAGATAAGCTTGGTGATCGTCAGCAAACGCTTCTGATCTTTAATATCCTCCTCCTTAAAATGAATACAAGAATCAGTAGAAACAATAGCTACCAAAGAGCTGTAAAAAGTTGAGTTCGTAGGGGCTCTAGAAATGTAAGGCATTTGTGAATGTGGTGTAATTTTTTTAACAAATAAATATTAATTGAGCTTCAGTTATGTGCCAGGTGCTAGAGGCAGTGAGCTAGGAGAAACCAGACAAATATCTTGAGCGGCATCTGCTTGCTTCCTTCCTTGCAGGTATATACTTATACTTTTGCAATTTGTTTCTGCCCTTCAGTGACATCAGTGCATAATGCCAGGTGCCCTCTCTTGTCTGCGATAGGGAAAGAGAGAAAGGAGCCCACATAGCTCCCCACATATTCCCTGTGCCCAACCCTGCCAAGCCCTTCACTGTACAAACACAGAGGGAAGGCGGAGGAAGGAGAGATCATGGGCTATTAATGCTCTGGGAAGAATGCAAACCAGTCTGTTCATACCACCAGTCATAGTGAGCTGTGACCATGATCACAATGCTCGCTTGACATTAGAATCAGTATATTTGTAAGTAGATCAGGAGCTTCTCCCATAGTTACAGCCTTTTGATCTTTCTTACCCATCAGAAGGAAAGGCAAGACACCATCAAGTGAGGCACCTGGGCCAAAGGTACTATGATGCAGTCCAGTGCCTGAGGAATAAAACCGCCTCCACCCTAAATGCTGCACTCAGATGGGAATGGAGGGGGTACTTGGACATTGCTAGAATCATTCATTCAATCACGCATTCAAAAAATTCCTTCAAAATAGTGCAGCTTAGTGGTTAAAACACTGACCTTTTTGCTGCATAAACCTGGGTTCAAAACTTAGCTCCACCCTTTATAAGATATGGGACCTTAAGGAAGTTGCAGAATCTCCCTAAATGTGCCACTTCATCCAAAAACTAGGATAACACTAATAGCTACCCTTAGAACCGTGGGAGGGGTTAAATGTTACGGAGCTCTTAGCACTGTGCCTTGCACCTGCTAAGCATATAATGAATAATAATTGTTATTATAATCATCAGTAGCACTCATATGTTCCAGCACCATCCTAAATACTAGGCCCAAAGAGTTAGGAAAAAAAAGTTACTGCACTCGGGTAGGCAAATAACTCACTATAATACAACACGGTAAGTATTACAACAGAGCTAGGAACAAAAATGTGGGAGAAAAGGGTTCGGGGAGAGGGGTGGTGGCTTCCTAGAAGAGACAGTGTTTTCACTGAGTCTTAGAGAATAAGCAGGGATTTCACCAGGAGAAAAAGAGAGAATAAGGTAAGGCATTCCAGGCAGAGAAAATGTCCAAACAAAGGAGGAGGAAAGGAGCAAAGTGAGTCGAGACAGCTGCACACAGTGCATCCTGGTCCTCCCTCCTCTCTAGTACGCTGCAGAGAGTCACCTTGTTCTGCTCAGAAAACACGACCTGGGCTGTGCTGGGCTGAGAGAAGAGAAGGAAGTGCCCAGGACTCTGGCACTCTTTTTGCTGCCTGGAATTCACCCTTCAGCCATTCCAGATGCCGATTGCCAGGGGGAAGAGCAGAGTTGCCAAGGTCCCAGCTGAGGGAAATGAGAGGGCACAGCCTCCCCAGAGCTGGCAGGGGAAGCTTCCCTGGGGAAGCGGAGTCAGCTCCGGCGCAGCAACCACTGCAGGAGCAGCCAGGGAGCTGCAGCACGGCCAGCCAGGCCGGCCCGCCAGCCTCCACCACAACAATCGCTATTTACTTTGGATGCCGGCCGTCCTCACAATTCACACACAAGATTTATCACCAGAAAGTAAGTCATACAGGCTGTAGTAATAACAAAGATCCTTAACACAAGCCTCTGCCCTGTGGCTAGGGCAGGAGGATAGGACGAGAGGAATGTCATCCAGTTATGGAGAACATCTATCACACCTTTTACGTTTAGAGAACATTTACGTTCCCTAGAAATGTTAGGGAGTCTTTTTCTGTGTCTTCAGCAACTTCGGTATCTCATCACTACAACAGGGTAATAGGCTGAAATTTTCAACTGTGTAAATGCTCCCTGTCTTTTCCCTGGCCTCTTAGTTCAATCGGGAAACCAAGTTTTGTGAGTTCTTGTAAAAGGATTCTGGCAAAATGGAAAGCAGACATCAACTCTAGAGCAATGGAAGTCAGGGGCCAAGGCAGGAAGCATGTCTTTAAGGAGCAGCAGGGTAGGAAATGGAGACTCCTAGAAACTGGAAAGAAGGTGGCCAGGTTTTAGAGAGGAACCGCTAAGTGGTTACAGGTTCCCGGAGCTGAGCTTGGCCCTGAGGGGAAGAGAGAATTACCACCCAGCCACCTGTGCCAACAGATAGTTCCTGTCAATTAGAGACAACCTGGGATGGGGAGGACCTCCCTACTGCCTTATACCTAAAACCCTGGGACAAGACAGAGTCCTCAAAACCACTGGGTTGCAATTTCCTGCTAGTCAAGGAAAATGGGGACTCAAAAGAGTATTATTCGTCAGTATAAACAGCCCTCCCACCCCACCTAAGGAGATAAACCCTGCCTTGCCTGAGGAAACTCTGAGGTGGTTGCCTTGCAAGAAGACAACACTGATTCTCAGAACCCACTCTGCCACTCCTCGTGGCTTCTAAATCTATGAGACTCAAGTCCCAGCAGGCTCCAAAAGATGAGGTACAAAGTGTTGTCCATGATGAGGTGCACCACACTCCAAAAGAAGCATATGATTTCTCCAACTTACACAGACAGAGCTCTGGAGAATGTGTGTGTGAACGAACAGTAAGCATGTGTGACAATGGTGAAAGGGACATAAAGTTGGATCAGGTCAAATTTATTGATATGGTCCACTAAGCAGGAAGTCTGCATTTAATGTTGTAACTCGAGGGGCTAGAAAGGGGCCTAACCGTTGGTTTGGTTGGCTGAAACTTGGACCAAATAGTGGTGTATACCAAAGGAAGGTGAAACGGTAGAACTCTCTGGGTACTGTGGTAGAAGGTACCCACAGGCTTACAGAGATTGGAATGTTAGAGCAAATTTGTCACATAAGCCTTGCTCACATGAGAGGGAAGACCTCCTGCCTCCTTCAATTTCACCTCCTCCCTCCGCCCCTTCCAAATGGGAAGGAGGGTGAAGAAGGAAAAAAAAAATGAAATAAATGAAATAAAATACCAAAGAGCTGGGAAAATGACTCCCTCTTTAGTTCCCAGCATCTCTGCTATCTGTTAACCTTGAAAGAGCTGCAAATGAATGTTATCTCTGCCGGCTGGAGCCCGGCACTGGTTCATGCCCCTACTTCTCCACGGACCAGGCTTCCTCCTGAAAACACCTCTGCAAACAAACAGCTTGTTGCTTTTGTCTTGTCTCTGTGAGCCCCCTCCCCTGTTGGTCCCCGCTCACACTGCATATGAATTAGCAAACCAATGAAGCCAAAAGATTCTAAGGTCGTACGTCCAGCAAATGGACAATGACAAAGTTCTGCCTCAGTTTCCCCATTAGCATTGTAAGCCTATAAAAGGGGAAAGAAGCTGCAGCTCGGGGAGTTCAGTAAGGGTGTAGCCCCCCGCAGCTTCTGGCCTAATAAAAAGCCACTTCCTTTCACAGTTCGGTGTTTGAGAGGTGTGTTCCCTCCCACTCTTGCTTCACTTACACTCCAGAAACATCCAGAGGACACATCTTTCACCCTGAATCTACAGAATAAACTTAATGGATCTGTGGTTGCTCTTTGCTATAGATCAGGAATTACCATGGTAACTGCTACCAGTAAACTGCAATCATTAAGTGCAAGGGGTAATAATGAAGTCCCCGGGTGGCAGGGGCCAAGTAGTGGCACTTAATTACCAAAGATGTGGATGTGGCTACCACAGTGGACAACAGAGTCAAAGCAGTTGTCAAAATCATGTGTGTTAGGAGCATCGCTCATGTAAACAGACCAGCAGGCAGGCTTTGTGTAAGCAACATGGCTGTTTATTCACCCGGGTGTGGGCAGGCTGAGTCCAAAACAAGAGTCAGTGGAGGGCAGTGGAATAGGAGTTGGTTTTATAGCTTGGAGCAAGTGGTCAGTTAAAGGTGGTAATCTACTTTGGGGAGGGGAAGGGTACCATGGGATGCACGGCCAAAAGGGTAGGGGTCATCTATTACAAACAGGCATGATCATAAGGGTGGGGTTATTGGTTGCAAGCAGAGGGGAGGGTGCGGTAAATTACATAGTTACAGGGGTGGGGGTCCTGAGAAACCCAGTGTCCAGGGGGGAAATTCCACAAGGTTGAGCAGGAACAATGGTTGCAGGTTGCAGGGGGGGAGCAATTAGTTGAGGCAGGAACAAGTGGTTTGCTTCTTTCTGTGGCCACCTGGTTACTTGTTACTTCAGACTTTCTGGCTCCTGGGGACCATCCAGAGGTGTACCTGTGGGTCACCAAGGCTATAATGGCCAGGCTTGGACTTGGAGGCCTGATAAAATGACTCAGAGATCAATGGCACTGGCTAGTTGACCAAGGTACCCCTAAAAGTGAGACAGTCAGTCTACTACATTCTGGGTTTTATTTTTAGAGATAAGGTCTCGCTCTGTTGTCCATGCTGGAGTGCAGTGGCATGACAGCCTCAAACTCCTAGACTCAAGGGATCCCCGGCTCAGCCTCCTGAGTAGCTAGGACCACAGGCATGTACTCCCACTGACTAATTTTTTTTTTTAGAGAGATAAGGTCTTGGTATGTTGCTCAGGGTGGTCTTGAGCTTCTGGCCTCAAGCAATCTTCCTGCCTCAACATCCCAAAACGCTAGGATTACAGGTGTGAGCAACATGGCTGGCCTGGTGATATAGTTTGGATGAACCCAAATCTCATGTCAAAATGTAATCCCCAAGGTTGGAGGTGGGGCCTGGTGGGAGGTGACTGGATCATGGCAGGAGGATTTCTCATGAATAATTTAGTGTCGTCTCCTTGGTACTGTCCTCACAATAGCGAGTGAATTCTCATGAGACTTGTTCGTTTAAAAGTGTATGTTGGCTTTGTAGATGCCACTGCCGCTGGGAGTCCTGTACCATCAGCCTCAGTCAATCCACCGTGTTCCTGGCCGTTGATGGCAAGCCCTTGGGCCACATCTCCTCTGAGCTGTTTGCAGACAAGTTTCCAAAGACAGCAGAAAATTTTCGTGCTCCGAACACAATAGAGAAAGGATTTGGTTATAAGGGTTCATGCTTTCACAGAATTATTCCAGGGCTTACGTGTCAGAGTGGTGACTTCACATGCCATAATGGCACTGATGGCAGGTCCATCTATGGAGAGAAATTTGATTATGAGAATTTCTTCCTGAAGCATACAGGTCCTGGCATCTTGTCTATGGCAAATGCTGGACCCAACACCAACGATTCCAAGTTTTTCATCTGCACTGCCGAGACTGAGTGGTTGGATGGCAAGCATGTGGTCTTGGGCAAGGTGAAAGAAGGCATGAATACTGTGGAGGCCATGGAGCACTCTGGGTCCAGGAATGGCAAGACCAGCAAGAAGATCACCATTGCTGACCGTGGACAACTCTAATAAGGTTGACTTGTGTTTTATCTTAACCACTAGATTATTCCTTCCGTAGCTCAGGAGAGTACCCCTCCACCCCATTTGCTTGTAGTATCCTAGAATCTTTGTGCTCTCACTGCAGTTCCCTTTGGGTTCCGTGTTTTCCTTGTTCCCTTCTATGCCTAGCTAGACTGCAGAGTTAAGTTTATGATTATGAAATAAAAACTAAATAACAACAACAAAAAGTATGTGTCACCTCTGCCTGTCCCTTGCTTCTGCTTTCACCGTCTCAAATGCCTGCTCCCAGCTCCCTGAGGCCTCCCCAGAAGCAGATGGCGCCATGCTTCCTGTACAGCCTGCAGAATTGTGAGCCAATTAAACCTCTTCTCTTATAAATTATCCAGTCTCATGTATTGCTTTATAGCAATGCAAAAACAGGCTAATACACCCAGTCTACTACATTCTTATTTGTTCTATTTAAGCAGAAGAGTTCCAGGCAATATGAACTTAGTCTAATTTGGATCATAAAAACAGACAGTCGTAGTTCCTGCAATCAATTCCTAGACTTGATTACAGGAACCAGTTTACAATCCCAAATCCCTTGAAAGAAGGGGAGGTTTGAGCTCCTTGAAGAAGTACCCCATCACACTGCCGAAAGATTATACTGTTCATCTTTCTCTTAGCCTTCTCCAAAGGACCTATGGCCTTTTGCCAGGGTGACTGTGCATTAGGGAATGTAAAATAATCAGACTTTTAGGTGACTGTTGGACACTGGCTAACTGGATTACTGACATCAATCTTAGGAGACCCAAACCATCACTGTGGTCTAACAGAGTAGAAACTTTGATTGGTTGATTGATTGATTGATTGACATGGTCTCACTCTGGTTGCCCAGGCCAGAGTGCAATGGCATATTTCAGCTCACTGCAGCCTTGACGTCCCCTGGCTCAGGTAATTTTCCCACCACAGCATCCCGAGTAGCTGGGACTACAGGCTCATGCCACCACACCCAACTAATTTTTTTTTTTTTTTTTTTTTAAGATGGAGTTTCACTCATGTTACCCAGGCTGGAGTGCAATGGCTCGATCTCGGCTCACCGCAACCTCCGCCTCCTGGGTTCAGGCAATTCTCCTGCCTCAGCCTCCTGAGTAGCTGGGATTACAGGCACGTGCCACCATGCCCAGCTGATTTTTTGTATTTTTGTAGTAGAGACGGGGTTTCACCATGTTGACCAGGATGGTCTCGATCTCTTGACCTCGTGATCCACCCGCCTCGGCCTCCCAAAATGCTGGGATTACAGGCTTGAGCCACCGCGCCCGGCCCCAACTAATTTTTTTTGTATTTTTAGTAGAGACCAGGTTTTGCCATGTTGCCCAGGCTGGTCTTGAACTCCTAGGCTCAAGAAATTTACCCCCTTCACCCTCCCAAAGTGCTGGGATTACAGGCATGAGCCACTGTGCCCGGCCTAGAGTGGGAACTTAAAAACTCAGGTAATCAGTGAAGTTTTAGCTCAAATGACAGTGGGTCCACTGGGTCTCCAAACCCATTCAATGGTCATTTCTCTGATTTCAGAGTAAATAATTGGAATAGACATATTCAGTAACTGGTAGGATCCCCATTCTCTGACTTGTGGAGTGAGGTTCATTATAATAGGAAAGACCAAGTGTAAGTCACTAAAATAGTCTCTACCTAGGAAAATGGTAAACCGAAAGCAATACTGAATTTCTGGAGGGATTCTACAGAATGATCCCACTGTCAAGGGTTGGAAGGATACACAGGCAGTGATTCCCACCACATCCTCATTCATCTTGCCTATTTGGCCTGTACAGAAGACAGATAGATATTGGAGAATGGCAGTGGATTATGGTAAGCTTAATCAGGTGGTGACTCAAATTTCAGCTGGTCTTTCAGATAAGGTTTCATTGCTTGAGCAAATTAACACATGCCCTATTATCTGGTTTGCAGCTACTGATCTGACAAATGCCTTTTTCTTAATACCTATAAATAAACTACCCAGAATTTATTTGCCTTCAGTTGGCAAAGCCAGCAATACACCTTAAGTGCCTTACCTTGGGGTATAGCAACCCTTCAGACCTATATGTTATACTATAGTCTGCAGAGACTTGATCATCTTTCCTTTCCATAAGACCACTAGTTCATTACATTGATGAATGCTGATTCTTCCTAGTGAGCAAAAAGTAGCAATTAGACTTACTGGTAAAATATTTGTGTGTCATATGGTAGAAAATAAATCCAACAAAAATTTAAGGGCCTTCAAACACCCATTTATGATTAAAAAAAAACACTCAGCAAACTAGAAATAGAGAGGAACTTCTTCAAGCTGATAAAGCATATCTGTAAAAAAAATCTACAATATAATACCCAATGGTGAGAAACTGCAAGCTTTCTCACTAAGGTCAGGTACAAGGCAAGAATGTCTCTTCTCACCACTCCTTTTCAACATTGCACTGGAAGTCCTAACTAATATAGTATGATTTTCTAAGGAAATAAAATGCATAAAGACTGAGAAGAAATAAATAAATCTGTCTTTGTTCACAGATAACCATGTTTGTCTATATAGAAAATCCAAAACAATCAACAAAATACTCCTGAAATTAATCAGCAGTTATAGCATATTTGCAGTACACAAGGTCAACATACAAAAGTCACTTGCTTTTCTAGGTACCAGCAGTGAATAAGTAAAATTTGAACTTTAAAACACAATATCATCTACATTAGCATCTCCAAAAATGAAATACTTAAGTATCAGGTTTTTTTTTAAATGTACAATATCTATATGAAAGAAACGACAAAATTCTGGTGAAAGAAATAAAAGAAGAACTGAATAAATAGCTATGTCATGTGTATTGACAGAAAGACTCAATATTGTGAAGATGTCAGTTCTTCCCAACTTGACCTATAGATTCAATGCAATCCAAATCAAAATCCCAGCAAGTTATCTTGTGAATATCAACAAATTAATTTTAAAGTTTATATGGAGAGGGAAAAGACCCAGAATAACCAACAAAATATTGAAAGAGAAGAAAAAAGACAGAGGACTTACACTACCTGACTTCAATACTTACTATAAAGCTATAGTAGTCAAGATAATGTGGCATAGTGAAGGAATGGACAGATAAATGGAATAGAATACAAGGTCCCAGAAATAGACCCACATTAATATAGTCAACTGATTTTTTACAAAGGTGCAAAGGCAATAAACTGAAGAAAAGATAATCTTTCCAACAATGATGCTGGAATGAATGGACATCCATATGCAAAAAAATAAAAATCTAAACACAAAAATGAAAACAGCTCATAAATCTGAATTTAAAACATGAAACTATAAAATTCCTCTAAAAATAACATAGGAGAAAATCTAGATAACCTTGGGTTTGGCAATTACTTTTTAGATATATCAAAGTCATAATCCATGAAAAGAAATTAATAGGCTGGACTTCATTAAAACTAAAAACTCAAAAGACCCTTTAAAAGAATTAAAACACAAGCCACACACTTGGAGAAAATATTTACAAAAGACATATCTGATAAAAGACTATTAGCCAAAATATGCAAAGAATTCATAAAACTCAATAATAGTAAAATGAAGAACCTGATTTCAAAATAAGCAAAAGACCTGAACAGATACCTAATCAAAGAAGATAAACAAATGGTAACTAAGCATATGAAAAGATACCAACATCATATGTTATTAAAGCATGGCTAAATAAAATAATGAGATACAACTACACATCCATTAGAATGGACAAAGTCCAAAACAGTGACATCACCAAATGCTGGCAAGGATGTGGAGCAACAGGAACTCTCATTCACTTCTGTTAAGAATGCAAAAGAGCACAACCACTTTGGAAGTCAGTTTGACAGTTTCTTACAAAACTAAACATATTTTTACCATATAATCCAGAGATTCTGCTTTTGTAGAAATTAACAAACTGACTGTAAAATGTATGTGAAAATTCAAAGCACTGAGAACAACCAAAAACAAAAAGAACAAAGTTGGAGGACTTAAACAAAATGTATTATAAATCTACAGTAATCAAGACAGTATGCCATTTGTGTATGGACAGACATATTAATCAAAGAGACAGAATAGAGTCCAGAAATAAATCCTCATACTCATAGTCAATTGATTTTGACAAAGGTGACAAAGCAATTCAATGAGAGAAAAGGCAATCTTTCAACAAATGATGCTGGGACAATTATATATTCCTATACAAAAACAAAAACAAAAATAAAAAAATCTTAGACCCTCACCTCATAGCATACACAACTCAAAATGGGTCATAGGTTAAAATGTAAATCCTAAGTCTATAAAACTTCTAGAAAAAGAAATAAGGAATCTTTGTGACCTTGGGTTAAGCAAACATTTGTTAGATATGACACAAAGCAAGATCCATGAAAGAAAAAAATATTAAATTGAATTTTATCCAAATTATTTATTTTTCAAAAGTAAATTCACAAAATTAAAAGAGAAGCCACCATCTGGGAGAAAATATTTGCAAATCACATTTCTGATAAAAGACTTGTATGTAGAACTCTTACAACTTAGTAACATAATAATAAGACAAACATGAAGAATGAAATTAGACTCCTATCCTTCCTGTATACAAAAATAAAGTAAAAATGGATTAAAGATTTAAATTTGAGACCTGAAACTATGAAACTACTAGAAGAAAACATTGGGGAAATGCTCCAGGATATGGATCTGGGCAGATTTTTGTGTGTGTAAGACCTCAAAAGCATAGGCAACAAAATCAAAAATAGACAAATGGAATTATATCAAGCTAAAAAGCTTCCGTACAGCAAAAGAAACAATCAACAAAGTGAAGAGACAACCCACAGAATGGGAGAAAATACTGGCAAACTATTCAGCTGATAAAGGGTGAATAACTAGAATACATAGGGAACACAAATCAATTGTTTTTAAAAAATCAAATTTTAAAACAAGCAAAAGCTCAAATAGACATTTCTCAAAAGAAGACATACAAGTGGCAAATAGGTATGTGAAAAAATGCTCATCATCACTAATTATCAGAGAAATGCAAATCAAAACCACAATGAGATATCATCTCATCACAGTTAAAATGGCTTTTATCAAAAAGATGCTGATGAGGATGTGGAGAAAGTGGAACTCTCATACGCTGTTGGGGGGGATGTAAATTAGTGCAGTCACTATGGAAAACAGTATGGAGGTGCCTCAAAAAAACTTGCTTAG